TTCTTTAACAGTTTTACTTACATCTTCAATTTCCACATAAATATTCGATTTCTTTTCTTGTGGCTGAAAAAAGTAGTCCAGCGTATTCTCTTCATTTTACACACAACGAAATTTAGCGTAAATGATTATACAATAAACACGATTTTACAAAATGACAAGTTCCAAAGTTATCAGCTCATTCAAATCATTTTTCGTCTAAAAATACCAATGTCGTTTTTCCATACAAATAAGATAAGAATTTGTATCACCAGTTTACAGTTTAACAAACATAAATCAATACTGGGAATTTTGTTTAGTCATAAATGGTTACTATGTTCCACGACGTTTTGCTGACTTCACGTGAATAGAACTATATCCGTCCCCTGCCTTGACTACAGTCGTCTCTAACTGGTGTACGTCGAGTGCAGCCCGCATTTATACAGAAAACGCACCATTTAGGACATTGCGGAGTTTGAGTAGCGTAATAATAACAGTCTATTAATAACCTTATAATTGATTTTTTTCTTACTGTATGTACAAAAATGAAAAATACATAGTAAATACTAAAACAAATTGACGATTCAGTGTCTATTTTGAGAATACGCCGCTGGTTGATGCCAATTTGAGTTTTATTTACATTGATGTAGGATCTTACGGTAAAGAATCAGATTCTAATATTTTTAAGGAAAGTTCTTTTGGAAAAAAGTTGTATTCAAATTAATATTCCTGGTCCTATACGTTTACCTAGTTCGCAAGGTTCACCACAGCCTTATGTTTTTGTTGGTGATGAGGCATTTGCTCTTCACACAAATTTATTAAGGCCATATCCACAACGAGGACTCAACGACGAACGTAGAATTTTTAATTACCGTTTGTCCAGAGCTAGACGCACTGTAGAATGTGCTTTTCTAGTACTTGCCAACAAATAGCGAGTATTACATACTACTATTTTAGTAAGTCTCGAATTTGTCGACGATATAGTAAAATCCTGTTATGTCTTACATAACTTTGTCCGAAAAAGAGATGGATATTATTTTGAAGATATGGAAAGTGAATGCAACTTTGATGACATCGAGGTAAGAGGAACGGGTTCTCGATCCAATGGGATTGAAATACGAGAAGCGTATGCGGAATATATTTTGTACACGTAGGTGCCGTGCCATTTCAAAATCGTGTACTTTAATCTAGTACGCTATATAGTTGGTATTTTTATTTCCAGTTAATTTTAATTTCGGTTGTTCGTTGTTACTTTTATTTTTTTGTATAATTTACAATTTTGATTAAATAAGCGCACTAGGTAATTATTACTAAATAATTTAACTGCTCAATATTCGTTGTTATTTTAAATAATTAATTAAATGACCAAAATACTTTAGTATTATTAATCATTATAATACGTACCATGCGAAGAAAAATAAAACAAATGCTAATACATATTTTATTTGTGTGAATTATTTTTTTATTTAAGTTGTAGTTAAGTATAATATACTTTTTATATTTAAGTTGTAGTTAAGTATAATAATACAATACGCATTATTATAATAAATAAGGCAAGAACGCATGCAATACGCAGGTTGGTAGTAATTTGTGGGACATCTGTGTTAAATATTTAAATGTATAAAAAACTTATATTAAAATAATAATTACCATATTCGTCTTTTTGGGTGTCCGAAAGTTCACACCAGTTTCCAGTGTACATGGATTCTGCTACGTTACGCCAACATGTATTTTTTACATTTTTGTCCATGTAATCTTTGCTCGCTATATCCCATAGGCAAGGATTACTTTCGATCAACATAATACATTTTTCGGTGTCGAATATTTTCAAACTTTTGTTTAACAAGTGTTTAAAACCACAAACATACACTACGAACAAGTAATTTTAAATGAATATAATCAAGCCAATTTACCAAATACGATGATGTAAAAATAACATTTGTATAAATCCTTAACCAATAGAAATAACCAATATTTTATAGTATAATAATAACAATTATATAACTATAGGTATATAATATTTTGGACGACCCAAAATTAATTAAAATTAATGAAATAATATAAATAGCCAACAAAATTATACTTACCTACGGCCGGTAACACAGGTAATATAAATATGTACTATTAATACATATATTATATTTATTTATATAACATAATAATAGGTACCTATAACTTAATAATTAATAGTATCATAATTTACAGTTGACATGCTCGTAATGAAAAATTAATTATATCTAAGTAATAAGTATATCTGTATTATGTGAGGAATTTTTACATTTTATTATATTACTTACCTACTTACCTTACCTACCATTTACCAACCTATTTCTATACGCTGTTCCAAAAGAAAAGACACCAGATTTTCATATTCAGTAGAATAGATTTGATCAAAAAAAATTAAAATTAGGTAGGTATATTTTAAAACATCAGCTTATTTACAAATAAAAAACAGTGTAATTTTGGATTATGAAAGTTACTAGAAACTTGAGCCCCACTATTGGAGTTCTTATTTTTTAATGCATAATATGATATTTGAAAAAATGAACGGCGGTTATTAACCATGGCTATGTGTGAACGGACTAATTCAAAACAATGTGTTTTGATCATTTTGGCGGTCGAACAGCACTCGGGTTGCGACATGTTGCGGTCGATTTTCTAACCGCGGCAGTTTCCTCGACTGAACCGCGTAAAGGTACGTTTTCCAAGGCGCGACATGTCGTCAATATCTGTTAAGGCACGGTTTCTTTGGCACGACTGGTCGCGACGACCGGTCGCTGCGGCCAGAGATCACAACGACATGTCGCTGCATATTTTTTCTCCCATGGTTTGCTTAGTACGACCGCGACGCGACGTGGCAACTCGTATATTTATAATTTTTGTGATCATCAATACATTTGTCTAGTATACTTTCTGACTTGTTCTAGAACACACGTGAGTTGTACTTCTATATTTATTGTATATTACGTATTTAAATCTGGAAGTTTAATTTAATTCAACATGGAGATAATTATTATTAATTTATCATATGGCGTCAAAATTAGTTTTTTCTCCATCGGAGGATGAAATTCTTATTCAAGAAGTACAGGCCAATTCTATTTTGTATGATTTGGCCGATGCTAATTACAAAAACATAATAATGAAGGATAGTATCTGGACGGAAATATCCCTCAAGATTGGAAAATCTGGTAAATAAAAAATTTCAATCTTTTCGATTATTAAAAAAATGATCAATTTTTATGTAATTACTTGACTGCAATTTGATAATTTAGTAGATGATACAAAAAAGCGCTGGAAGAATATTCGTGATTCATATTCCAAAAATAAGAGAAAGCCGGGAACAGGATCAGCAGCGACTAAAAAAAAATGGAACTTTGCACCTCACCTTGGTTTTCTGGATCGAGTTGAATATGAGTAATAATGGATATTTAACCCGTTTTACCCCGATTTATGCACATTATTAAATATTATTAATTCATAAAAGTTCAAGAGAGTAACAATGTAACGTGCATAGCCAGTGTCTAGATAAGATAAGAATAACATGACATGTTAGTATACTAGTATGGTACCAGTATTGGGCTTTAAATAGGAAATACATCGTTGACGATATTATGACTTATAAAAATAAAATATCACCGATTCTTAGTAGCAACAAAATTTAAATGTAATACAATATACATATTTATTTCAGACAGGGATTGAATTTATTTTAGATTCTAATTAAAACCCGATATATTTGGTTTTATTTGTGTAATAGTAGACAATATTAAAAATTTCATTCAAATTAAAAGCCACTGTGTAATAATGGGCCCCTCTGAATACTTTGGGTGGGCCAGGCACACCCTGGCCCCCCTTAGCTACGTGCCTGATACAGGGGCTTAATAAATGTCGTTTATTATAAATGTTACCAATACCAAAACACGTTTGACACCATGGTCGATTTGACTTGCGAGCGCCTGTCGCTACAGTGATTCGACCTGCAAGAACATGTGGCAGCAGGCAGTGTGTAAAGGGCCCCATACACGGTCAGTTATGAATGTCAGTTTTTGTGATTGTCACTCGTGATTGACCGTGTATATTGTTGAATGTCAATCTTTTTTTGTGACTGATGAATTTCAAACAAGTTTGATTTTTTGTTGTCAATCAGAGTGATTGCCAATCATGACTGACCATGTGTGGTAATGATTTATACTCGTTATCATTCAAAACAATAACAAAAACCTTATCACAGTTGTACCACGTGCTTATACTTTTCACTTTCAAAATCGTTATTCATTAATAAAGTAAGTATATTTTAACTAAACATATTGTTCGAACACGGACGGCCATACCACCGGTTCGCGCCCGCCGACTTGACCGCCAGCTTCGCCGTCGGCGCCGAACTTTGTAGAAGCCGCCTGGATGTCCTAGCGCTTCGGTCGCACGACGGCGACACCGGCCCAGCTTCGGTGACTTGCACTTTTTGTCTATCTCTAACCGTTTTCCGCGTCGCCGTGCCCCCAATTTTTATGTGTGCGTCGCTGTCACGTGTGCGTGCCCAAAACCTCGTGGTTTTCCGTTTCCACCGAGCTTGAACTTATTACCAGCTGTGTGCCGCCGCATCCATTACCTGTGTGCCGCCGTTCATAGTTGAGCGAGCCGCCACGATTGCTGTGTGCCCCTGTTGTGTGCCGCCGCATCCATTACCTGTGTGCCGCCGTTCATTGTTGAACGAGCCGCCACGATTGTTGTGTGCCGCCGCTAATATTAAAACTAGCCGCCGCCGCTACGTCAATTGCTGTGTGCCGCAGCGTCAATCATCTGCGTGCAGCCGCTCACTGTTCAACGTCGGGACCAGTATTATTCACCGGTGGGTCACCCTTCTGTATTTTTACCTACTTAGCTCTATACACTGCAAGTCGATATTGCCAACCGCCTAAGTCGTAGGAGCGTATCGGCGATTTAAACACATATTGTTATTTTAAGTATTAATATAAAGTTATAATATTTTTTAATTTTTTTTTGTATGTAGCTATAGGATAATTATGGTTACTACTAAAGACATAGAATTCTGGCGTGAATTTATAAACCTATATCGCGAACTACTTGCAGTTTGGAAAATAAAAAGTGATGATTATAAAAACCGCGATTTAAAGTCTCAATGTTATGTAAAGTTAACAGACAAACTAAAAGAACATCAACCAACTGCAGATATAAATTCTACAAAAAGAAAAATTAACACATTAAGGTCCAATTTTCGAAGAGAGTTGAAGAAACAAATCAATAGTAGAAAATCTGGAGTTTCTAAGAGATCAAGAATGTCAGGATATTGGAAGGTCATCCATAGAAGAAGACATGACTAATTTTGTAAGTTTTTTTTATTAGGCATCAGTACTAGACTATTATATAAATTTATTATATAAATACCTTTATTATAACAATAAAAACAAAATTGAACTCTGTTCGGAATTAAAATGATTTAATATTTATACTAGGTAGTTAATTGTAATTTATTTTTAAAAAGTATAACTTATTTTAATTTTATTCATTAAATATATTATTTTGCCATTGAACTGCTCCAATATTGTTGAAATATTCACAATATTTGTTTCTTATATCTTTACTAGTAGTTGTGCTATTTCTTTGTTGACAAGATTCTAATGAAATAAGTTGTTGGTTGTTATTTCTCCAACTTCCTGGACGGACTTGACCAGAACTAACATCTTCAAAGTCAAAACTGTCTTGTAAAAATATTTGTATATTTTTTTGTCTTAAAAAGTTTTGCAAATAACAACATGCTAATACAATTGTCGATGTTTTGTCTGGTTCTAAATTAATTGAATTTAATAAAATTCGAAAACGGGAAGACAATATTCCAAATGCATTTTCAACAATGCGACGAGCCCTCGACAGTCGATAATTAAAAATACGTTGTTCCCTAGTCATGTTCCTCTGAGGGTAAGGTTTCATAATATTATCAGATAAAGGGAAAGCATCATCAGCTACAAAAACAAATGGTAACTTAATGTTACTTCTAGGTAGGTAATCAGGTTCTGGAATTTTCAATTTGTTTTCTTTCAGTTTTTGATAAAATTTAGTATTTGAAAATACACCTCCATCAGAGACACGTCCATTTGCACCAACATCAATCATAATGAACTCATAGTTGGCGTTTACTACTGCCATTAAGACTATGCTGAATGTTTGTTTGTAATTATAGTAGTATGAGCCTGATCCAGGAGGTTTTCTAATTTCAATGTGCTTTCCATCAATAGATCCTAAGCAGTTGTAAAAATTCCATTTTATGCCAAAATCGTTGGCAATTGTCTTCCAATTCTTCTTCTGTAGTTGGCATCTAATAAAAAAATTATATTTATATCAATAACATTTAACTATCATCAAAAAAACTAATTATAAAAATGCAGTATGTAATTACATTTAAAAAATAAGCAATATATTTTGAATCTAGTGTAGCTACTATAAATTTGATTTGTATAAAAGACTGGTTTCAATTTTTATATCATATTATTTGAGTATTAATTCAACTAAATTTTATTTTATTTTATAAAAAGCTTTTTTATTTTCAGGATTTGGAAGAACCGATATCTCCAGACTCACCTATACTTACAACATATACTCCACCCTCTAAAAAAAATTATAAAATAACAGACCAACAAAAAAGGAATGAGCTCCTTGAATTTGCTTGTGATAAGCTTCGAAATTTGTCCAATGATAATGATATTTTAGCCAAATCCTGGGCATTAGAGTTAAATCAATTAGAACCCGATCAGAAACTGTTTGCACAAAAGGCAATCAATGATATATTGTTTAAAGCAAGACTTAAAACTCTTAATAGAAATTCAGTTCAGATTAATCACCAATGTAGTAGAAATACACTTCTAGAAAGTCCGATGTATACTTCATCAAATAATTCATGGAATTATTCAAACAATACAGCAACACGCACATACACTTCAATCAGTGATGTCTTTTGTGATCCTCAATACAATGCAGATAATTAAGTATACTTATTTTTATATGATAGGTATATTTTTATGTTGTTTCTTTTATTTTTATTGAATTTGTGATATTATAAGTTAATATTTTTTATATTTGACCGTTAAAGGTTTTTTGATTAATTATGTAATTTTAAAGATATTTACAACAGTTATATTTTTTCTTGTTATTTTTTAATTTCACATAATTAATACACAGAGTTGAGTGTTGTTTTTTTTTTATTTTATGGATATTAAAAAAGTTTTTTGATTAATTATGTAATTTTAAAGATATTTACAACAGTTATATTTTTTCTTGTTATTTTTTAATTTCACATAATATATACACAGAGTTGAGTGTTGTTTTTTTTTTATTTTATAGATATTAAAAAGAGTATTATAATATTTAATTTAGCTATTATTTAGTACCTAGAAACAGCCATATTTGTTCCTTTATAAAAATATTTATAAATATTATGTTTTAAGTATATTAGTTATAGTTAAAAAAATAACTGTTCAAATGTTACCTATATCAAGTGATGTTGATTAAATTTGTGATATTAGCAGTATATATTAAAAAAGTTAATATTTATTCATTTGTAGTTTTTAAATAATAATATAAGTAAGTATATAAATATTTTTTTAACTTACTTGTATACAATCTTTTAGTACAATAACTAGAGCTTCACAGGTTTCAATAATAATTTTACTCAATGTTTGAGGAGCTATTGCTGTGGTAAATTTTAAATCTTCAAAGCTTTGACCAGTAGCTAAATACCTTAAAGTAGTTGACAGTCTTTGATTTGCAGGGATAGCACTTCTCATATTTGTATCTTTTTTTTTTATATAAGGTTCAACTTTTTCTAATAATTCCATAAATGTTGAATGGTCCATTCGAAGAAAATTTGCATAATCTTCATTTGATGTCAATAAAAGTTCATCTAGTAGGTTATGATGTGTGTATTTGTTTCTTTTTAAAAACCATTCTTTTGACCATATTCTTTGTTTTTTCTTTCGTTTCCTTCCTTCGTCTGCATTATCTGTAGCCAAAGCAACAATAATTGCAATGCAAGCTTCTTCCATTATTCAGGAAAATTTAAATTTGGATGTACAATTACTATAAGGGCATAGGCTACGATAGATTTAGATGGTGGCCTTTGTTTTATCTTTAACCTAAAAGTGAAGAATTATCAAACGATTGTCATTCATGATTGACCATGTATTTCTAACCATGATTGGCCATGTATGTCATTCATAAGAGTGACAATCATAAAAACTGACATTCATAACTGACCGTGTATGGGTACCTTAAAATATTGGTACATTTGACGTAATAGTCAATTAATGTATATCAGTAGCTTTTAAAATATAAGAGAAGATACTGATGACTTATATACTATAAAAACTGTATGTTTTAAAATATTTATGAATTTCCAAAATTTAAAATAAATATTGCAATATTAATTATACGTCAATATTTATATCATAATGACTTGGACTACTAGTTTTCAGTACACCGTAAAAATATGACAATTTATTATTATTAGGCCATTAGGGTAAATAAAATGTCTTTATTATTCATGGTTAACGATGGGATTGTAATATAGAAAAAAAAAATAACCCAAAATAAATCACGAATTAATAAACGCACGTCGACGTAGTCACCAATGTGAATATTCAATATTGTATTATCTTTTTTAAAAATTGACTAAAATTAAATTCAATTACGCAATTCTGTTCTTAAAATAAATAAGAGTCGCAAACAAGATAAATAAATCATTGAAGTTCAAATTTTAATATTAAAACATGAAATAATAAATAATTACCGCAGGGTAAAATGTACATTGTACTTACAAGATTTGAGCTGGATTCTGACGTTTCTCAAAAAAGCATCAGCTTCATGAAACCAATTTAGCTTGGGTTTATAGATATCTTCAGCTCCAGCACCACTTTTCATAGACTTTTTAACTTTGTTAGCTTCATGTCTCTACGCATCCTTAATGTTTTTAATTTTCTTTTTCAGAAGTTCATCATTTGAAATTTGAAAACCAATGCCATTTAATTCCATGCGTAAATTTGTCATATTGTTCTGACGTGCATTTTTTCGCATGAAATTTTCATCGGCTGTATTCCATAACGATTCATATTTTCTATATACAAGTAAAAATCTACTTATATCATTAGATGACCACTTCAAGGTCGGTTCTTGCTTGTTATTCATGATATTATATAGAAAAATATATTGAAAAGTTGAAGATCGAAAAGTTTACTGATGAAGTGTACTGATTAAATTAATGAAATAAAGTAATATTAATACAATAACAATCTTATAATATTGATAATATAATTATTGTGGTGACTTCGGCGCTTATAACCACTTTGCTCAACTCATTCGCCGTTACCATCCGTTTCGCGGAACTTTTATATTATATTCGTATTTATACAACAACTATGATTTCTAGTATTTATTGTCTTTGTAATTATATTTATGTTCCTAGCTCAACTCGATCTCGCGTCTCCCATTGGCGACGCCAAGCGACTCGTCCCGCGACGGGTACGACGCGGCCGACCGACCGGCCAGCGCTCGTTTTGCTCACAGCCCTCGACCGAGCCACACGTTTTCGTCCGACCCACGACACACGCCCGACGCCATGCTTCTCTCGCAACGGCAATCGACTCGAGTAGCGATACGATCTCGATGATCATCGCGTACCTCGACTCGTCCGACCGACCGAACTCTTGTCACGACGACGTTCTCGACTCGCGACGTAGCGCCACGCTCCCTCGATCGCTCGTGCATCGAGCACACCGATTCCGTCGACCCACGCGACCAACGACCGCTCGACCGTCGAATAAATATGCGTACTGCGTACGTACAAACATGTTCTGGTTTCAATATACGACTTTCGACGCAACCGCGTCAATCAACTACATTGTGTGTTCATTCATTCAAATAACTAAACTTGTGTACCTAATCCTTCCTGCAACGGAGTCAGCAGCAGAACAAAGCGCATGTTAGGACAGTGCTGTTGCTGAGTGTTGCCCCAACCGACGCAGAGTCAACCACGACGATAGGGCAATGCACTTGTTGCTACATTATTATTGATAAATAATAATGATAATAATTATTGATAATAATAATACTATAGCTAGTAGCACAGAACAATATAGAATAGACACTCGATCAGCTGTGAGGGTTTACGTATCCCTACGGTATGATGTATTGGACTATAAAAGTTGTACCGTATCCGTAATCTGATAGAACGTTAGCAAAGTGTATCCCTCTTTGTTACGGAATTTTTATAAACGATTTTATATGAATTTTCATATTTTAAGTATATCAATATTAAATTTTGGTAAAATGAATAAGGATTTTGTTTTAATATAAATTAAAAACTATAATGTAATTTTACATTGGTTTATTGTTAATGAAATAATATATTGTATTATTATTCTGTGCACTGATAATATTGATATGATTTATTTAAATGATAACATATGCCACGCCCCTTAGAGACTGTGCTCAAGGCCACAGTCACCCGATTTTGCCAATACACAGAGCAGTGGCGTACACACGGGGGGGGGGGGGGGGTGTTCAACCCCCCCCCCCCCCCCTTTAGTATTTTTCAGTTTACGTAATTACTTAAAAATGTATAATGAAAATAATGAAAATTTAAAAAAAAAAATTAATAGTACTAATAAAAATAAATACAAAATTAAATTAAGGGAATTTCAGTGTTACCGTCACAATCGAGTTTCGATTAAAAATGTACGGCGAGAAGACCGTCGTCACCGAAGTTATTATTAGATATGGGATATTCCAAATTATACTCCATTATATTATAACTTATAAGCAACCCAATTTGTTCTTATAATATATTGTAGATATAATTGATAACTAGTTACAAATTAATGAAATTATTGGAAAATTTGTTCAAACCCAAACATGAGGGTCGACAATCGTAGAATATTTATAGATCTGTGTAATCCGATATAATATGCAGTATCGCTAATACTATAGTATAGAATCTATTTCTCAGTTTTCAATCAAATTCCTGACGCTTTGGACGTTGAGTAAATTGTACTTACTGTTTAAATATTTTAAAAAACATACAAATGAAAAGAATTAACGAATATTTTTCTTCTAATATGAATAAAAGAAGTCCCGTGCCTAACTCGGAGGAACCAGGTAAATATTGAATACATTATATTATCAACCTAGGACCTAGGTAAAAAAAAATGATTAATATGGTAAAAATAAATTTCTCTTTATACCTATCTTTTATTGAATTGTATATGTATAATATATTATTATAGGTATACATATTGTATGTACGCGTGTAGCTTTGTAGTTATACTAAATAATTACCTGTAGGTAACAGGTATATATTTTTAAATAATAATCGAGTATTGTAAAAATATTTTTAATTTCACCTAGTCATTGCTAATGAGCCGATTACTCATTATGTACAAAATAATTACTATAGGTACATCGTCCTCAAATGTTGTAATGTCCCGAGTTAATGATGTTGGTATGTTTATAAAAGCTGGTCGCAATTTAACTGATAATGAAAAACATATAGTAAGTTATTAATTTATTTTACGATTTTTATGTTATTATATTAAATTGTATATTGTGAATTTTATTACTATCCATTTTCTAGGTTCTCACAAATGCATGGATTCCGCCTGTTTCTTACTCGTTTCCTATACTAGAACCTAATAAAGAACGAAAATTAAAGTTTCAAAACCACTGGTTAACTTCATACAGCTGGTTACTGTATTCCGAAATAAAATCTGGTGCATTTTGTCGATTTTGCGTGGTTTTTGCTAAATGTGGTGGTGTAGGAAATCAAAAACTAGGTTTTTTGTCCTCTGAACCATTTAACAATTGGAAAAAGGCTAAAGAAGTAATTTTATTAAGTATTTTAAATTTAATTATAAATTACAAACATAATTCATAATAATATAATGTATTTATACATATTATTATATTAAATTTTTTATAAAAGGTTTTTAATAAACATTCGACGTTGGAATACCATAAAACTGCTGCTTTGAAGGCTGATAGTTTTTTAAGTGTTTTTTCTAAAAAACAAAAATCAATTGTTGATGCTTTGGATGATGATAGGTAAAATATATTTAAGTAGGTATACTAATAACATATTATAATTATATGTAAATATAATAGGTAACAGATATCATTATTATTTATTTTACAGGTCAAAACAGATAATTAATAATAGAAAGAGGCTTTTACCAATCGTAGAATGCATAATTTTATGTGGCAAACAAGAAATTGCTCTACGGGGACATAGGGATTTTGGCCCAATTGACTTTACATGTAAATTAATGATTTTATATTTTTTAAATGATTTGTTTACTAATTTATTTTTATTTTTTTAATATAAATTATATAGCAGCGTCAGCTAAAAATGAAGGTAATTTCCGAGAAATTTTATAATATAAAGTAAAAGACGACGATTGTATTAGATCATTCCTTGAATCAGATTCACGTAATAAACATTTCAGCCCTAGGATACAAAATGAAATAATAGCTATATGTGGTGATATATTATTAAAGAAAATTGTTGAAAAAATCAATGCATCCAAATGTTTCTCAGTCTTGGCTGATGAAACAACAGACATTTCAGTTACAGAACAACTAACAATATGTGTAAGATACTTAAGTGGAACAGGGAATGATGTACAAATCAATGAAGATTTTATCAAGTTTGTTGAGATTCATAGTTTAACAGGAGTTGATTTAGCATCTGCAATTCTAAATGGTAATTTAAAATAAATTAGTAATTAATAATAGTTATTAAATAAGTTTTTTTTCAGGTCTCAATGTTAGTGGTATTAACTGTGATTTAAAGGAGTAAAATCTATTATACAAGCAAAGTATCCTAAGGCATTGTACGTGCACTGTGTTGCCCATTCCTTAAACTTAGCAGTATCCTCTGCGTGTGATTTACAACCAATTCGAAATTGCCTTGGGGTCATTGAAAAATTGTATTGTTTTTTTAATACACCTAAACGCAAAAATGCACTTTTTGAAGCTATTAGTAATAGTGATTTGATACCAAGCATAAAATCATTAAAACGATTATGTGCAACCAGATGGATTCAAAGGTATGATGCCGTTAATGATTTTGTTCAGTTATTTCCATACGTTGTAGTTTCATTAGAAACTATGTCAAGTTGGAAAGATGTAACTGCAGTTGAAGCCAATATGTTAAAAAATGCAATGGACTCAGAATTTCTTATATCAGTACAAATTATAAAGGTACCTAATTCAATATATTAAATCATGTAGTTGAGTTAAAAATTAAATTATTTGTTTTTTAATAGGTTTTATTTTCATATGGGCTGCCATTGTGCAAACAACTACAAAGCAAAGACATTGATTTAAAAGAAATGGTTGGTTTAGCAGAAGATAATGTTAATGTTCTTAAACAACTAAGAACTAACATTGAACCTGAATTTAAAAAAATATTTAATGAGGCTCAAGTAACTAACATTAATGATTAATATATTATGCTTATACAATATTTTAATTAATTAAAATCACTAGTTTGCTTCTTAATATCATATTTATAAATAAAGTTAAGAGTATTTATTTAATTTAGAAAATGGCTGAAGTTCTAGATTTTCAAATTGTAGTAAAAAGAATAAACAAAAGGCAAATAAACCGTGCTAATCCATCATTATCATCCGAAGAACCAGAAGATTATTTTAGAGTTACTATTTGTATTCCTTATATTGAGTCATTCATAAATCAACTAGAGCTCAGATTCTTAGAGCACCATAATATTTTTAAAGGTTAGTTCCTAATAACATACATTTATATTAATATATTATTTATAAAACCTACGTTATTTAGGTTTTCATTGTTTATTTGACAACAACGAAGATTCTAATGAAGCTGATTTTGAATCTCTCGTTTCATTCTACTTGTCTCATAATGCTTTGTCTACCACCCTTGGTGAACTTAAAATGTGGAAGTTAAAACTTGCTCGTCTAAATGTTAAACCATCTAATGGAATTGATGCATTAAAACTTTGTAGTCCCGTGATCTTCCCAAATATTCATGTTATTAAAAATTCTATGCACACTGCCGGTATCAACAGCTACTCCGGAAAGAATGTTTTCAAATTTAAAAAGAGTAAAATCTTATTTGAGAAATACTATGAAAGAGGTAAACATTTTTTTATCATACATATTTTTAATCCTTATTTATTACATTTTATACTGAAAAATAATTATTTACACAGGACAGATTAAATGGATTGACCATGTTGTCGGTATACCGATATATAAATTTAACTCCTGAAGAAGTCATTGATGAGTTGGGACAAAAACCCAGGAAAATAGACATTGTTTTATAATGAAAATAAATATTAGTTAAACAACATATTATTTTGATTTATCAATGTATAATATATACAGGGTGTCTCAAACAGTACTGACATATGGAATAACTTTTTTGGTATTCGATATTTTTTTTTTTTTTTTTTTTTTTTATTTGTAGACGCTTGCGCTACATGTTTTATATAAAAAAAAATTTTTTACTTTTTTAATTCTGAAAATAAAAAATTTAAAATTTTATAAAAAATGTATTTGAAAAATTCAAAATAGCCAATTTATAAAGCCGATTTTTAGAAAAATTTTGATGGTTCAAATATTTATAAAAGTGTTGCCGTTAATTTTCTACAAATTATTTAGTTTTTGGAAATATGAACAATTTTTTCCTTTATCATACCAAAATAATCAACAATCATCAGTCATCACTGTTACTAGTATTAATGACTATTATCGATTTATTTTGTTTATCGAGTTTTCATATGTTTTCAGTTATCATTTACTAATATCATTGCACGATTATAAAGAACAGGTTATCCGTCGGTATAAGATTTGTATGGCACAACCGCGGTCAGAAATTGTTACGGTGATATAGTTCGGCTATTTACCACTAGGTAGGCGCTGCTAGTTAACCGGGCTCTAAACGAATTGTTCATTGTCGTCATAAATATAAATCATCTATTGTGATTTGTGAAGACGAATCGTATAATATATTATTAATATTTAATATTATTGTCATAGTGGGGTCATACGTCAATATATTATTATTTTATTATATTATTTATTTCCGAATTATCGAAACATGCCATCTTCTTGCTGGGTTGTGTTTTGTACGTCAGGATATAAATCAAACCCAGAAAAAGTTTCACTATTCACTGTTTCAATTTCCTAAAAATGAAATTTTGAGGGAAAAATGGGAAAAATCTATTCCTCGTGCTAATCTTGTTGTCAACTCAAAGACAGTGATTTGTGAAAAACATTTTCACCTGATCAAATTGTTAGAACTTGGGAATCTGGTTCTGGTGCTTCAAAAGTCACGGTATTACCTAGGTACTGTAACTTATCCTTTGTTCAATGAATCTTTTTTTATAAAAAAATGTCTTAAACGTTTTTATAGATAAATTTAAAACGAGCAAAGCTTCCAAGTATATTTCCGGGTCCAAAATATTTGTCAAACCCAGTGAAAAAAAGGAAATTACCATCTGATATGTAGAGTTAATTTGATTAAACTAATTTAATCCAATAAACTCTAGTTTTGGCACTACATTAGGGCTCGAATTGGTATATGTAAATATAATATATATAAATGTACCTATTTACTTTGTACTACACAGAATAACGTTATACTTTTAAATACTAAAAAACACAATGATATACATAATACATACACTAATTTCTAACTCCTAGTTCCTAATGTAAGTGACCACATAATAACTGATTATTGAGATATAGTTTTTGTCGTCACCGAATAATCATTATTTATTTGTGAAAATTATGATCTAGCCCCCCCTCCCCACAATTAAGTCTTTAGAACTGGCCCCTATTGTAGTGAATTTAGGTATATTTTTCCATTTAAAAATTATGAAGAACATTTTATTAAATTACTAGGCAATAGGCATTTTTCAAACATTGCAAAACCACTAAAAAAAAAATAAACAAAAATATTAAATAATTTAAAATTTATCAAAATATTTTTAAAACACCATCGCACATCTCTTAAAAATTATATTATAATTAATAATAATAATTCAATCAGGTTGATGAAAAATAATTTAATATTATCAAAGTTTGTATACATTGTTAGTAGGGCCGAAATAAAAAAAGAGAGGTCTAAAAATACAGTAGGCTACACCCAAAATGCAGGTCTATAAATTGCCTATGAATAAACTGCTAATATTAAAACAAAAGGTTTGTCAATTAATTAATTAAAAAATTAGTTTTAACATGGTTTGTATAGGAAAATGTTAATATTATGTAACACGGATGACTTGCAGCGCTCGGCGGTTTTAAGAACTACACCGCCGTAACAAAATCTGACCGAAAATATTCCTTCCGACGCATAACCTGTTCTTTATAATCGTGTATCATTGATGACAATCACAAAATACCTGTTATCAAAATGGCTTATAAAGTTATAGTATTTTATTATTTTTTCCTCTGATTTTCGTCAGTATTAGCAATCAGTATAGTTGAATCATTTGAGTTCTAATAAATAAATAATTATATTATTAATAACTGTTATTATTTTAGTAAGCTTGTTATTATTATTCAAAAATTCTCGTTATTGTGTTATCAATGTACCCACCAATTCACCATTCATCATTTTAACGTCCATCAAATTTGAGGATTTGTTTCATGTGTCCAAACACTGGAGTGCTTGAAACTGTGAATGCATTATAGATTATTCATGACAAATTTGTCATGGGATTATTTATGTATTACTCACCAAAACAAAATCAAGTTGAACAGTATCTTACAATGCAAGAGTGACACAAATGTTAAAATCGGTCACATACAGAATAAGGTATCATGTCCACATCCATATGTGGCTTAACTACAGAATATTTGCAAAATATATTCCACGTGGTTTCAAGAAATGTTCCACAAATTAAATTGATATACATTTCTAAGAAATTAATCACCATCACGGCATCACTTACAAAAACAAAATTAGTTAAACGAAGTTACCACACTATTGGAGAGTGGAGACGTAAGTATACATAATAGTTATTTTTTTCGGTGGTTTTACGATAGGATGTCTGCAATTTAA